CAGAGAGACACCACCTACATAGACATTGTCCCCATTTCCCCCATCCCTGTGTCCCCATGTCCCCACACGCCCATCTCCTGTCCTAGAGATCCCCATGTCCCCCCAGTATCCCCTCATGTCCCCATCTCCGCGGTTGAGCGGCCACAACTCAGTCCCATGTCCCAATGTCTGCCATAGCCCTGATATGCTCCCAACCTCTCTGCAATGTCCCCCAAAACCTCACCCCCACAGATGAGGCAGATGGCACTGAGCAGCCCTGGCTCAGTCCCGTGTCCCCCCCATTTCCCGATGTCCCCACCCCCACAGATGAACAGCCCTGGCTCAGTCCCCCGTCCACCCCATGTCCTGCAATGTCCCCCATGTGTCCCCAGCCCCACAGATGAGCAGTCCTGGCTCAGTCCCTTGTCCCCCACCATGTCCTGCAATGTCCCCCCTGTCCCCAGCCCCACAGATGAACAGCCCTGGCTCAGTCCCCTGTCCTCCACAATGTCCCTGCAATGTCCCCCATGTCCCCACCCCCACAGATGAGGCAGATGGCACTGAGCAGCCCGGTCTCCGTGTCATCGAGCTGCAGCGGCAGCAGCTGCCCTGCGAAGGCGAACACGAGGTCGGTGAGGGGCCCAAACCCCGCATTGTGCATCTGGGTCCGGGTCAGCGTCAGCCCGTCCGAGAAGGTCATCGTGTCCTGCTCCGGCGTGTAGCGGGTGCAGATCCGCAGCATCTGCAGGGCAGAGACCCCAAAATCACCAAGGGGTACCACAATACATCCAGGGACACCAAAAATCCATCCAGGGTCACCAAGGGCAATAGAATCCACACAAGGACACCAAAAATCCACAGAAGGGCCGGAAAACACCTCCAGGGACACCAAAAATCCACCCAGGGTCAGCCCATCCCATCACTGTGTCCTGCCCTGGAATGAAGCAGGTGCAGATCCACAGCATCTGCAGGGCAGGGACCCCAAAATCCACCCAGGATCTGCCCATCCTGGAGCATTGTCATGTCCTGTTCTGGGTCTGCCACATGACAGACACAGCACTGGGTGGGGGTCGGGGTCAGGGACACCCCAAAATAGCCCAAGGTCACAAAAAGCACCCAAGGGACCCCAAAGTTTCCCACCAAGGGATCCTCAAACCCAGCCAGGCCCTCCCAGCCCCTCTCCAGGACATCTGTCTGTGGGGTGGCGAGGTCAGGACCATTGTGGGCCACCCCAAGCCCTTTCAAGGAGCCCCTGACCCCCCTGCGGAGCCCCCCCAAGCCTCACCAGGATGTCGAGGCAGGCAGCCTTGAGCAGGGTGATCTGGTCAGCCATGCTGAGCCCCGTGAAGCCTGGGAGCCTCTTGGCAAACTCCACGATCTTGATGATGCACTTGGTGGACAACTCGCTGAACTTGTCCCACAGCCCCAGGTCCAGCTGCACCCGGTGGTCAGCGCTCGAGTTCTGGGGGCACGGGGAGGGGGCATGGCTGTTAGGGGGTGTTCAGGAGCCCCTGGGACCCCCTGGAACCCCAACCCCAGCACCCTGAACTTGTCCCACAGCCCCAGGTCCAGCTGCACCCAGTGGTCAGCACTCAGGTTTTGGGGGGGGATGGGCTCAGTTATGGGGGTTCAGGGTGGATTGGGACTCCCTGAGACCACTGGGACCACCTGAGACCCCAATCTCAGTAACCCCCAGATCCAGCTGCACCATGTGGTCAGTGCTCAATTTATGAGGGACACAAGCTCAGTTATGGGGGTTCAGGGCCTGCTGGGACTCCCTGGAAAGTGCTGGCACTCAGTGACCCCCAGGTCCAGCTGCCCCCCTTACTCAGCAGTTGAGTTTTCAGGCGTCAGGACATGCAGAGACCCCGCTCTGAGCTCCAGCATTAGAGTCCCTCCCATAAGTAACCCCCCAAACACCACCCACGACCCCCAGTGATGTCCCAGTGCCCCTGAACTTGTTCCCAGCCCCCTCAGTGCTCAGCACTTATGGTTTGGAGGGATCAGGAGGGAACAGGGACCCAACTGTAGGCGTGAGGGCTGGGGTTGGAGTCACCCCCAAAGGGACCCCCAAAACCCCCTGGGGACAGAAACCTGGTGCCCCACTCCCTCTGAACATGTCCCAACCCCAGCTGCCCCCAGTGCTCATGTTTGGGAGGATCAGGAGGGAGCAGCGACCCTGCCCCAGATCCAAGGGCTGGGGGAGGGATGGGGACCCCCCTTGCTCCCCCCAGACCCCCAGCCCTGCTCACCGTGGTGTACTTGCCCAGCTGGCCCAGGGAGGGGAAGGTCTCCTGGTGGGCTCTGCTCACCCTGCGCACCAGCTCGGCCAGCTCGGGGCTCAGCTCATCCCCACCCAAATCCTCCTTCACCTCCTTTTTCCTCTTGTTCCGATCGTTCCGCACGGCTGGGGAGGTGGCATTGGGGGTTGGGGGCATTGGTGTGCCCCCTCAGACCCCTCCCAGGTGGGGTTTCCTCCCCCAAAAATCCCCCCATGGGACAGGAACATCCCCACTATGAGCATCCCCAGAACCCTGGGACCCCTCAGCAAAGCTTTGGGGAAGGGGGTCTCAATTTTAGGCAACTCCTCTGCAGGACCAAGGAGGGAAAGCCTCACACCCACAGTCCCCTCCACGGCCCCAAATCCTCCCCAAGTCCCTCCCAAGAACAGGAACATCCGCAGGCCCACCACAGCACCACCAGGGCCCCTCAGCAATGTTTGGGGGGGGTCCCCAACTTCGGGGACCCCGGCCCAGACCCCCTCGCACCTTCCTTGGACATTCCGACCTGGAAGCACTTCTGGAGGCGGCAGAACTGGCAGCGGTTGCGGGTGACCTTGTCGATCTGGCAGTTGCGCTCCCGGTGACACGTGTACACCATGTTCTTCTGGATGCTTCTCCGGAAAAAGCCCTGCAGTGGGAAAACGGGCGGTCAGGGGGCACCCCCAAACTGGGGGCACCACTATCACACCCCCAAGGATCCCAGTAAGGCTCCCCAGTATCCCAGGGTGGGGCACAGGGCTTGGGGGACTCCCACTTCCCCAGGGGTGCCCACTGGCCTAGGAAGGAGTCCCCGTCGCCCAGGCGTGGTCCCACTCACCCCACAGCGTCCGTGACGTCCCCAAGTGTCCCCATTACAGCTCCCCAGTGCTTGGGGGATTCCCACTCTCCCAAGGGGTCACCATTCCTCAGGTGGATCCCCACTGCCTGCAGCGAGCCCCTTTTATTGGGGCAGGTCCCCAGTGTCCCCAGGACCCCCCCTCCTCCAAGTGCTGGGTCCCCACTGCCCCCCCTCCCATCACAGGGTCCCCAGTATCCCCCCGCAGGGTTTCCAGTGTCTCAGGGGTCCCCAGTACCCCCACCAAGGTTTCCACTGTCTCAGGGGTCTCCCTGCCCCCTCCCAGGGCTTCCAGTGTCTCAGGGCTCCCCAGG